GTATTGTGCATATGAATAATGTATTTCATGACAAATATTTATTGATTATATTCTGATTTTAAATCTTTGGACTCGAAATTTGTTGTCTCGTACTCACACTGTTGCAGAGGCCAAGTACATGTATAAAGCAGGCTAATAAAGACATATAAATATGTATAAATACATACATATATACACCAGTATATGTTTATATATATATTTGTACATATATATTTACATATACTGTATAAACATATATATATATATATCTATGTTTAAGGGTGGGAGAAAAAAATATTTCCAATGCTATTGCTATTGCTATCATAAATCAATTTACAAAATGCCACAATAGATTATTTGAAAAAAAAAATATGCTGGGCTTCTGACCTGAAGTTGAAGCAAACCTACTGCACACTAGGAGGTGACATGGTATTCTAAGCTAGAGGCGCCTCAGCAAAATGAAAACTCTTTCCAACTATTTACGGCAGTCTGAACAGAATATTATTAATCATAAATCGCTGCTGTCTCAGGCTGTGGGTTCAAAGACTCAGAAGAAGTGTGGCTGACAGAAGGTTTTACTAGTTCTGCTTCCTCAGGGAAGGTTCACATGACTTTCTGGTCAGGGGACTGTTGTGCTCCTCCAGCTCCAGGATGGCTGTCATGTGATTTGGAGCGTCTGCCGTTGCTGCAGGTCTGCAGGACTTCAGTGGTGTGGTCACACAGGGTAACTGTGACCTGGAGGGAACCATTTAGGCATTTAGCTGAACCGTCATGTGATTTCTCTCCTTCTTTTTCCTTGAACGTTTCATCTCTCTGAACTGCTAATCGGTTATGTCACTGTTTTTAGCCAAGTCCTGCTCTCAGAAAAATGGTTTATAACAGCCTGATATTAGCATATTATGTAATATCTGTAAGAACCCGTAACAGGTTTGTCCTCCGATAATGACAACCCGATAACGCAACGCCTGGGTTTCGCCAAATGATGTGTGCCCTATAAATAGTTTTGGGGATAAACGGCTGTATATTAAAGTGAAAGTCACTAGGTGGCAGCATTGCCGCTCATTTAATCAATTTCATACTCATACAGTGGTTTGTACAGATAAATAAATACATAAATATTACAAGGCCTATATCGACATTTATACATAAATATTACCAGGCCTATATCGACATTGGTTGATATTAGAATCGGAAATTAAGTGTTTGGACAGTATCGGCATATCGGAAAAAAGCTAACATCGGAAATCCCTAATCCAAACCCATTGCTGACTGAGCCTTGAACTTTTCCATCAATATCAGTTACCTATAAAGCATAAACTTTTTTTCATCTCTCTCTTAATCGTGATTAGTCGTGATAAAAATATATCAGTTAAAAAACAAAACCCAACATATATCGTAGTTCATCTGTCCCCTCCTCCAATCTGACTGAATTAGCCTTGCTGCTGCGGTCTGCGTGTTACTGAACACAAGCTCTGGTCTGGCTTAAATCAAGCAGCTCACTTGTGTTTGTGTGCGTGTGTGTGTGTGTGGGGGAGAGAGAGGGAGAGAGGGAGGGAGAGAGAGATAGGTTTAGGGGGCCCGTAAAACTCTTGGTGAAATGGGTCTGACCCTGAGCACAGATTTTTTTTTGTCACCTTTGACCTTGTGTAAAACTGTGTATGAATATAATGCAGACAAGGTTGGTTTGATTTCCTGCCCGCAGACTACGACAAAGACACGTCGGAGGTCAGACAGAGAAGACGCAGAATGCATTGTCTTTCATGTACACACACACACACACACACACTCAGAGTAAATGCTGTTGTACTCTGGGACCGGAGTAAAAAGTTCACCCCTGATGTCCAAGAACTCCTGGAGTTTACATTTGGTCATGGCAGAGGTGTGGACTCGAGTCATCAATTTGATGACTTTAGACTCGACTTGACAAAATGCAAAGAGACTTGCTACTCGACTCGGACTTTAACGTCAGTGACTCGTGACTTCACTTGGACTCGAGCCCTTTGACTCGACGTGACTCGAGACTTCCTCCGAAACCCAAAGTGATCTGTGGAATTATATTGTTATTTTTGTTTGAAAAAAGGACTGGAAACAGAAACGGCAGGACTTGGGACTTGACCTGACACTTTTCAGTCTTGACTCGGACTTGAGTGCAAAGACTTGTGACTTGCAAAGCAATGACTTGGTCCCACCTCTGGGTCATGGCTTTTGTGCGTGTGTGAGTGTGTGTGTGTGTGCGTGTCCTAAAAGTTCTCATGCACATTGTATTAGGGGCCAGCTGGGTTGGCCTGCACGCTACACATGAGCCTGATTATGACTCAGTATTGCATTACTGACATTCCTCCATAGCTCTCCCCTCTTTTCTCTTTCTCTGTTCCTCTCTCCCCTCCTTTCCCGTCCTTTATCTCTCTCTCTCTCTCTCTCTCTCTCTCTCTCTCTCCCCTCACTCGTGTCGGTCTCTCCTGAGGCTGGGCAGATTTGCTGAGCAACCACACACCCCCCACATCCCTTCCTTTTCCCCTCCCTCCCTCCCTCCCTCCCTTTCTCTCTCTCTTTCTCTCCCCCTCCCACTCCTTACCCCTCCCTCGGTCCCCCCCTCAGCAAAAGCCAAAACCCGACACGTGATCCATGTAGCTTCAGATCGAATCACCGCACCATGGACTTTTTTTTTCCTTTCTCTCTCCCCTCTCTCCCCTCTTCTCGGTGTCAAGTCTATCAACCGCTTTCTTTGCGAAGCGTGCGTTACATATGTTGTCCTGGTGCCGACACTCTCTCTTAGTATTTCACATACAGATGAGGAGGAGAAAGAAAGAGGAAGAGGAGGAGGAGGAGGAGGACAAAAGGGAGGGGATTAAAACTGTCAAAGGGGCTCGGAGTGAGTGGAAAAAAAAAAAAAGAAAAAGTCATAAGATATGCGTGCGTTTAATGAGAGAGAGAGAGAGAGCGATACGGCGCTTTTTTAATTGAGTTCCCTCGGACCCCGGACGTGTGTGTGTGTGTGTCTGCAGTCGTGGGTGTGGACTAATTGACGTCGTTTTTTTTTTTGTTTTTTTTTAATGAAGTCTTCGTGGTGTGAGTGACGCCGGGGTGAGAGGAGGTGAGTGGATTTGTAACGGCCCTTTCCAGAAAAGACCGTCGATTACGTGACAGGTAGCAGCCGGGTTAATCCAGTGTGAGGAGGAGGAGGAGGAGGAGGAGGAGGAGGAGGAAGGGGGGGAGTGTATGGTGGCTCACCACTACCTTTACCACCACCACTCTTCACTGCTCAGCCTTTATACTGCCCAGCCTAGGAAAGAAGGGGCAGTCTCTCTCTCAGGAGCCCTCTCTGTCTGTGTCTCTCTCTCTCTCTCTCGCCTCTCCTTGCCTCTATTTATATTTTTTCCCCTCATTCTTCTTTCCTCACCCATCTTTCCTCCTACCTCTCGCATTCTCCCTGCAAACCTACTCCCCCCCCTTCACTCTCGGACTCCCTTCCTCCCTCTGTTTTCCCTCTTTTTCTGACTCTCTCTCTCTCTCTCTCACTTCCTTCCCTCCTTACCTTCAAGCCTGATCCCTCCCTCCCTTCCTCTCTCTCCCTCTCTCTCTCTCTCTCTCTATCTGACTGTGTCACTGGAGAGCGTCTCAGTGTGACAATGCCATCCTGCTCTCCAGACTGTTGCCCTGTACAGGCTGTGGAGGTAAGTAGTGCGCGCATATGTGTGTGTGTGTGTGTGTGTGTGTTTATTTTGTGTACCGTGCATGTACTGTATCGATGACGGCGTGGTTACTGATTGGCAGCGTTGAAGACATTCCCCCCCTCCACCCCCTCTTTTCCTTAATGTTAATAAAACTTTTTTTTATTTTTTCCCCCCCCAAACCAAAGCACACGAGCCATGAATTCACTTTTTTTTTTTTTTTTTTTTTCTTTTTTTTTTTTTTCCTGATGGGGGCGTGTGGTAGAAGAAGGAGAAGAAGGAGTCGAGGGGCAGAGAGGGAGAAGTGACGTTGTTCTGGTCACATTCACAACGTCGTAGTTGGAGGTGTTTTGTGCCATGCTCGGGCTACTCTCGTGGGGTTTTTTTTTTTAATTTTTTTTCGCCATGTTTTTTCTGCCCTCGTCTCATCTGCTTTTATGAGTATTTAGCTGGTTTTGTTGTTGTTGTTGTTGTTGTTGTTGTTGGTGGTGGTGGTGGTGGATGTGTGCTGTACTGGCCAGCAGCGTTTTTCTTTTGCTGTGGACAGAAAATGTTAGATCCCTGGGTGTGGGAGGACTCACATGCAAACACAGACGCACATAATATTTGTTTCTCCACTCTGGGAACAAAGTCAGATGTCTCTGCACTTTAATTTAAATTTTTTTTTTAAAGTGTTTTAATGCCGTGTTGTGGTGAACGGACTCTGACTCTGATGCTGCAATGAAAAAAAAAAAACCCCACAAATGCTTGTTATTTTAGCACGCGTCGTCGTCGCCGCCGCCACGGTCCGCCAAATTCTGCCCTGAAATTGCGCCGGCTCTCGGTTCCAAGAAGTGACATAATCGGGGAACGAACGCAACATGTGTAAAACCACCTTGTTATCACAAGTGTGCGAAATGTGCTCGTGGTCTCTCCGGAGTGTGGGACAGTCTCGCATGTGACAGAAAACGTGGCACTGTGGGTTGCACACAGACACAGGTTTACATGCGTATTTGTGCGTTAGTGTGAGTGAGTGAGTGAGTGAGTGAGTTTGTTCGGTTGAGGTGGGGACAAAAGGGCAGAGCTAAGAGCGCCGCCGCGACCCACCGGCCATTCCTGGATACAATCTGAAATACAATCTTAAAATCCCGGACTGACGAAAAAAAAATAATGTAACAATCTCAAGGTGATACAAACGACAACAAAAGACTATGGAGGTAAAAGTTCCAAGTTTTTCATGTCCAACTTTGATTTTCCGATCTTGAATCTTGTCCTTGCTGCCGCTGCTGTTTCTTCTTCTTCTTCTTGCGTGGCTGTTCTTTCATAACGCCGTCCGCTTCTTTTCAGATAGTTAAGGTGTGGAGCGAGGATGGGGCTGGGAAAGTTTTGGAGGTTCCCGCAGACATGACGGCAAGGGACATGTGTCAGCTCCTGGTCTACAAGAGCCACTGTGTGGATGACAGCGCCTGGACGCTGGTGGAGCACCACCCCATCCTTGGCCTAGGTAACTGCAACACGTCTCTGTGCGTTGGTCATGTGACGGCGTCGGTCGCCATTTGATCGACCTGTCTCACGTGAGGTCTCACGTCTGCGTTATGGGACGTCTTTCTGTCTCTGACGTTGTCCCAAACGCCTCTGGTTTTTAAGTCTTTGTTTTTTTTTTTTTGGACCTGTTCAGTCCTGTATCCTGTGCGAAAAAATCTTGGGCTTCAAGATCTTCATTACTTGATGATTTGTAGCCTATTGAAGATTCATCTTCATTTTTTTTTTCTCCCCCCCCCACC